ATATTAATTTAATAATTAAATAATAATAACAATAATAATAATAACAATAATAATGAACTCAATTTATCAGAAATGAGGGGAAAGTTGGAGGATGTGGAAGATGACAAATAGCAAAATAATAGTATTAATTGTAATTAGTAATAGTAGCATTAATAACAATATTAACAATAAACTGATTCATCAGGAACCGGGGGGAGGTTGGAGGATCAGGAAGAGGACAAATAATAATAATAATATATTATACATATACATATACATACATACACATACAACACACACATACACACATACATATACATATATACACATACACACATACATATACATATATACACATACACACATGCATATACATACACACACATACATATACATATATACACATACACACATACATATACATACACACACATACATATACATATACACACACACACACACATATACATATATACACATACACACATACATATACATATATACATATACACACATACATATACATACACACACATACATATACATATACATACATACACATACACACATACATATATACACATACACACACATACATATACATACATACACATACACATATACATATATACACATACACACATACATATACATATATACACATACACACATACATATACATATATACACATACACACATGCATATACATACACACACATACATATACATATATACACATACACACATACATATACAAGCTATATTCTGAGTTATTGACGGAGAGTTTGAATGCGCAGTGAGCGCCTTGTTCTGTTGTACTTACTGAGAGACTTTAATAAAAACTCGCGTCCCAGTCCGCCGACCCTGTCTTCTTCCTTCCTCCCTCTTGAACCATATCACACTGGTGCCGAAACCCGGGAAGGAAGAAGAACGCCGACGCCGTCATGCAGTCCCCGTCAGGATCGCCATTTGCGGAGGTCATCCAATCGCTCGCGGGTCTTCACCAGGAGCACCATCAGGCGCTGCTGGGCTTGAGGGACGACCAGGAGCGGCGGTTCCATGCCCTCATCCAAGCCCAGCAGGAAGACCGCGAGCTTTTCCAGAGCTGGATTGACCGGGAGGTTCGGGCTGCGGGAACGACATCTGCCCCAGCACCACCCACCCACGTGCCTCTCCACAAGATGGGGCCCCAGGACGACCCGGAGGTGTTCCTGGACCTCTTTGAGTCTGATTTTGATATCATTCTGTATATTTTGGAGAGTGTTTTTTTTTAGTTCGATATATTAATTAGCGCTGAGATTGGAAGGGAAAGGTCTAGGTTAATTGTCCTAGTGTCGATCTTTGATTGAATTGATGATTTGATTTGTGAGTATTCCAAAAAACAATTACTCCCAATGTCGTATTTCTGGACCAAGTGGGAGAATGGTGCCAGGTTATTATTATGAAAGATCTGCTGAAGTTGAGTGATGCCCTTTTCTGCCCATGTGCATAAGTTGAATGGCTTCTTGTTAGCTGTAAAATCTGGGTTATTACAGATCGGGGTGTATTTAGATGGTGCAAGAGGAGTGTCTGTGATTTGATGAAATTTCCACCAGGCTGTCAGAGCTGCTGCTATTGTATGATTTTTGATGGTCTGATTGAAGAAGGGTAATTCTGAAGTGTTAATGTCCTTGCAAATTGTTTGTTCAACGTCTAGCCATGTGCTTTCTGATGAGTCAGGGTGAATCCATTTGTGTATATTTTGGAGCTGATTGGCCAGAAAGTAGTGGTAAAAATGTGGTGCTTCCAGTCCTCCTTGTATTCTTGGTTTCTGTAGGGTAGTCAATTTGATTCTTGGGGTCTTGTTTTTCCAGTAGAATTTGGTAGTGATTGAATCTAGTGATTTAAACCAGGAAATGGTGGGTTGTGTTGGTGTCATTGTAAATAAATAGTTTAATTTAGGGAGTATAGTCATTTTAATTACTGATATTCTGCCCATAATAGATAGTGGTAGGTTCATCCTGCGTTGAAGATTATCGTCTATTGTTTTAAGTAATGGAGTGTAGTTGAGTCCAAACAACTCTGACAGCCTGGGGGAAACATTAATACCTAGATATGTGATATAATTGGTGCACAGAGGAATCGGTGGTGTCTGGGATGTCACATCCAAGCTGGTGGAATGTAATGAAAGAATAGCAGATTTACTCCAGTTGACTGAGTATTCAGAAATATTTCAGAATGAGTCAATGAGTTTAATCGTTTCTTGTAATGATGATGCGGGGTCTTGTAAATATAATAATATATAATCAGCATAAAGACTTATTTTGTGGTGTATATTTAGTGTTTGGATTCCTTTTATGTTTCTGTTTTGACGGATGGCTGCTAATGGTTCAATGAAAATGGTGAATAGTGAAGGGGAGAGTGGGCATCCTTGTCTAGTCCCCCGGTGCAGTGTGAAGCTACATGATGTTAGTTCATTGGCTCACACAGTGGCTGAAGGTGATGTATACAGAATTTTTATCCAATTAATGAATGACTCCCCAAAACCAAACCTCTCTAGTGTACTACAGATACATAATTGACAGAATGTACACAGCAGGACAACAATAAAACAAAAACCATTAAATACAAACATAGGGTGGAACATGGGGAGGGGCACGAGACCTAGGTGCAAAAACAAGAGCACATCTTATAGATTAAAGAAAGAGAGAGAGAGAGAAAGAGAGAGAGAGATCCGTTTGTCATAATGGCAGTTATTGACTCAGGAATTAATGGAAGTGAGGTGTTCAGAAAAGCCAGGGGGTAATGTCCTTATCACGATATAGTTGTCCATCTATGTATAATTTGTCCACTGTAATGATTGCTCTTTTTCCTTCATTTATTTTCTGTTTTCGGATTGGGAAAAGTTGCTTTTGACATTGGAGAATGTCCTTTGGGTATTGCTCATTGAGACCATAGTTTGTGCCTTTAAGTTGTCTGCCTTGCCTCTGAACCAGTTCTTTGTGTTTATAGTGTTCAAATTTTGCGATGATCGGTCGTGGTCGGTTGTTGTTGTTTTGAGATCTGATACGGTGAACACGGTGAAAGGTGATGATCTGTACAGTTTCGGCTGGTAATTTGAGTTGTTTTATCATAAAGTCCTTGACTGATTTCTCGGGGTCGTCTGGAGTTTGTTCCGGGATGCCTGTGAAAACTAAATTGTCCCTCATGCTGCGCGTTTGCAAATGCAAAATGTTTTCTTTCATGGTTTTGTTTTCTGCGACAATGGAAGTGAGTTGAGTGGCAAGTGCGTGAACTGAATCCTTTAAAAAGTTATTTTCTTTAGTGAGAGTGTCTATCTGCTCTTGGCTGAATTCTAAGCTGTGCCGCAATTCCTAGAGTTCTTTGTGTATGACTTCAATCAATGCGATCCTGGTGTCAAGTCCGGAGAGTTTATTTTCAATGGAGAGTAGAATGTCGCTTACCTCAGAGCAGCACGGCAGTTTCGGTGATGTGGATGGTGTTATACTTGGACTGGAAGGCGAATCGGGACGAGGCCTCTTGGAGTTTGGAGTGGGGTTACCTTTACTTTTTTTGTTGTGATCTGGTTTGTCCCTGTTCATGTTGCAGCAGAGTGTATTGTATATATATCGTCAATATATTCTTCGAGATGATCTAGGTTGTATAATGTTATAGTCCAGTTTTGAAATGGGGGGAAAGCGAGATGAAAGAAGTGGGGAAAAAGACAAGAAAAGAAAAAAAAAGGTATAGATATTTGAATGTTTATTAAAGTCGTTTACAGTCTAGCAGACGGGAGCCGCCATCTTAGATCACGCACCGGGTCTCGTGAGGTCTTGCGTTACTCAGCCATCCTCCTCCTCCCTTCAAAAAATGTTCAACCAATATCTAGGGCATGTTTTAGTCCAGATTAAAATGTAAAAAAATAAAAATAAATAAATAAATAGCCTATTAAGTCTCAATATTTAAGTATTTGGCGCTGTGATGAGCACCATAGCGAATACACAAATCTGAATGGCTGTTTAAATCATTTAAATATGTTTCAGAAAGTAGTGCTGCGCAGCTGCTTTGTTTACGTGGTTTCCGGGGACCAGTTGATGGGAAAAGTATTCTTAAAATGCATTAAAAAAATCGGAATCATTTGTAATAAATAATTATTCACGGTATTTTGAAGTGCCCACGATAACAATATCGTGCATGTTCATTATCGTGATATATCGCATTACCGAATACCGGCACAAGTCACAAGCTATGAAAAGAGTCAGTTAACCACCTGAGTGAAACCATCCGTTTTAGAACGGGGTCTACAGCTTATACTAAACCTCTGTTTCGTTTAGTTACGATACCGATACTTGCATTGCCTTGGCCTGGAACGAGCGTTCGGATGAAAGTCTTGATGGTTTGGAGGTTCGGTGGTGTAGGAGTCGCGATCACCTTCTTCCGGGTTTGAAGAGTGATGAACTCCAAAGATGTTCTGACTCGATGGTGATTGGGAGTTTCTTCCCAGTGGAAAGTGAACAAGAGCTAAGAGAGACATCAGCTGAGATCCTAGGATCTTTGGTGAATGTAAAGTCAAGGCTGAGGCCTGGCACGAACTTAGGGTGTCCTTAGAGGGGTGCTAGCTCACATCGTCATCTTCTCAGAATCTAACAGAACCGCAGACTGACAGGCTATGTGTTGGAGCCCACCGGGCACGCCCGCACCGGCTCAGGCTCTCCACACGGGCCGCAATCAGAAGGTTTTAGCAGAAGACTTGGAAAACCATGGGCGGAACGGCGCGTGAGCCTTTTAAGGTCTGAGAAGATTCACGCCTCTCAGGATGGGCTTGTCCAATGAGAAAGGCTGAAATTCCAAGCAGGAGGTTGGAAATACTGGGGAGTTTTATGACCCTTTGTGTGAGAGCATGGTAATTTGCATATGGAACTTGATTGGGTGTTGATGCAAAATTACTAAAGATTCTTAGAACACTAATATATTGTACCCACATATAATATAAACACTCATTTAGATCATCAGAAGACAAATGAAAAGAGACCAAACATGGCATCGGTGGGGTTATATTAACTAGTGATCTATCATAACACACACACAAAACAGTATACAATTCAAAAGACAATATACAAGAACAGTAATGATATACACAATGTCCCGAGGAGATGTGTGTTCATTCACAGAAAGGTTTTCCTATGAATTA